GCATATACAGGGTCCCTTATTTCAATTTCTCAAGTATCACAATAATTCTAATGTAGGATACACCAATTACCTACCCAATTAATCATAATTAATGATAAACAAAATGGTTTGACATTGAAGTCGGTAATCTTGTGAATTTTGCCTTGTCTTGTTTAGAGCAAAATTATGGTTTGAAATGATCAAAACTTCATTATATTGAATATATTGAATAGTTGTATACTCTTTTTTCATGGTTAGTACAAAACCTGTCCGTTCTAGTAGTTTTGTTATTAGAAATTTTATTACAACAATGTACATTAATATTAATTCACCACCGTTGATCATTTATGGAGTAAGACTTTGTTGATATTAATGCACCATAGTGCATTAAAACACATATTCTTTCTTCCTCTTCCTTTGTTCAACACACGTCTTTGTTTCTCACCCTTTTCCTATGTACCCGCACAAATAATGGAATCGCCTTGAGGAAACATGGTCCCTAGACAAAGCGTTTTTTTAATACTCTTTGTTTGGTTTGAGAGCATTTCAGATATAAATATCACAAAGCAACGCTGCTTTGACATCTGCTGTCCTGAGCTACTGCCGACAACATCATGCCATGAGTGTAACCCGGTTCGCACCCCTTTCACCTGGGCCGTAATGGTCGATACCTCATCTTAAACATCAAAGGTAAGCTTCATTATAATTATAGTAAATCTAAGCACCGAAGGTTCACAGGCAGTAAGATCAATATAATCTTAGACATGGGAATAAATATCGAATGTGGCATTTCAGACAAAGAATTGCAGCATCGGCACAAAGGCACGATTCTCTCCATCGTCCTATATTCCTTCTGTGCCGATATTGGATATATAGTGGGGGGAGGAGGAGGCATTGTTTTTTCTTAAGAGGTGGGGGATGGGGGAGTGACAACCCTATTAGCATAATTAATAGTTCTCTTCATAGGCTTCAGAGACTCGATAAATTGGGCTTAATTTACTTTAGTGCAATAAACGAGAGGTAAATAACAATGAAATTATGTAACTTGTAATAGTGGTGTTTTATATAGCAATATTATTTACTATTATAGGTTCTAACTATATATAACTATAGTTGGACTGTGGTATCTGTCTCTTATACACATCTAGATGTGTATAAGAGACAGGCATATTGCTTTAAAATTCATTATTTGTCGTTAGACCTTTTATTCAGGTCGTTATTTCTTTATTTAATTGACTGAACAAAGCCACGAAAAAGACGAATTACAGCATCCTTAAAGGAAGGAACTTCCGTACCGAGTCCAGGATATTATCAATTTGAGGCCGATCAAAACAGGAAATGTTAGGGGTACCCGACGCAAACTCAATGTATCTTGAAGTATACAACAAAGACTATGCCATAGTTGTTAAAGCGGAAAAATCCGTATTATTCAGTATAATTCTAGTTCTAAGTTCAAATCTAATCGAGCTTAAAAATGGACTGTGGGAAAGCGTAAACATGTCTTTCGATTTTTATTTTTTGTTTTCGATTTAAGCACTCTCCATAATTAAATTGCCCTATTAGGTTCATTTAAGAAAAAGCAAATCTATTAGTAGGCCTATAGAGTATCAGGGCAAGAAACAGTGCTGCCGGGATTGCGTTCTGCTCAGGAGGACCTTTGGTCAGGGAAAACGGTTTGAGAGGGATGTCCCCAAAATATGAACCATATCATATCTAAACAATGTCGCGTTTGATAGGGATTTTTTCGGCTACCAGACTGGCGAGCGTCCATTTCGTCACCCCTGGATCCACCACTGATAGGGCTTGCACCGTACTTTAACAATTATTTTAGTTCAGTAATTTTGGTTAAAATTAATATAATTGATTCGGTGCTATACTGTTTTTTTGTTTAAAAAAATGGCAATTAGGCTTTACAATAGTACGGTAATTGATAGGCCTGTGCCTTTATAGTGTATGAATATAAAAAATACAAGCAAACCGTTTCATCATATACGGATATGTTAGTTTATATTTAAGAACTAGCGGACATTGCGTGAGTAAGGACAGACAGACAAAGCCCGTGTCGAAAGCAGTTCAGAAATTTGTATATAGGCGTACTTCAGGTGTAATCACTATCGAACCTATCGTATTATATGAGAAACAATCGTCAACTTAGATGAAAAGTAGAACCCTGTGATGTTTTGTGTAGGAAATTAACAATTAACAGTTAGGCCTACACTTTTGTTATTTTTTTCAGAGAGGCATCTGGGTATGTGCAATATGTTTGCTTTCCACAAGCCTAAGATCTACAGGAGTATACAGGGCTGTTGCATTTGCCGGGCAAAGTCTTCGAGTTCTCGGTTCACTGGTAAGTGGATGATAGTTGTTTGTTTATGAAGAGGGATGTGTACCATGCAACATCTTTTCTATCCTAGATTAGTCAAGACAATAATGTTCCTTTCTCCTTAAATCGACACCTTTAAAAATCTGTATCAATTGCACTCTGTTATGGGTTTTTGGTAGGTCATTCTAGATACAAAATCGGAGTTTCCATCACGCCATTTTTCACTTTAATTTAATGCAGGCATTTGCTAGTCATATGTATGCGGGAATAATTAAAAAAAACATTCTAATATCTTATGGTTTATGTATGTGTACATATCGACCACTACGAAAATATTAATCTATGATTTGTACCGCCCCCCCCCCCCACACATGTTTTTAGGTGGTGTTTTCATGTAAATGTGATTTTATGAAAAAGCTTAATATATCATGATATATAGGCCAAGGACTGTGGTATAGCCTACCTATAAAGTATTAGACCTTTATATCGTATATATTTGCATAGTAGGCCTAGAACAATTTTGTTAATGTAGGGCCTATAGAGAGAAAGTAGACTCATTGTTTACGGTATATAAACTTGCAGTTTACCAATCACTTTTCGTTGTGCGACCGATTTTGCTATGTTCTTGTATAATATACTGGTAGATAGTGGTGTGGACTAGCTTAGGATAAACTGTATTTGACCTACCCATATGCCATGTGATTTAGGATCGTTGGAATTAACAATAAAGATAATAATGATGATAATCAGTGGGCTACGCTGATTATATATTGATGGAAAAGTGATAATCTGTTATCGAATTCATGGTTTAAATCAGCCAGATAGCCAAATCATAATCAAAGATAAATTTGGCTATTATTTTTTTTTGACAACAATAGCCAGAAAGCTAATAAATTACAGCTATCACGGTTATATTCACATTACTAAACATAAAAATATATATATATATATATATATATATATATATATATATATATATATATAATGTACAATTAAATTGATGAATGAACAATGTACACATTAAAAATTTAATTACAAATACACAACACATTTGAAAGATTAACAATTTTAAAAATAAACACAGGCAAGAATATTAGATATATAGAATTTTATTAAATTAAATGCCTATTCAAAAAATTTAGAGGATATGTATCCTGTATATTATAGTAGGGCTATATAAATTATGTACGATAAGTCGGGGTTACCGTGACACTGTCAACAAATTCATAGAAACAGTATCGTACTTGAATATTTAACGAACAATTAAAGTAAATAGTTAATGCGTACACTTTAAACGAACAGGCATAGGTAAATGATCAAAACAGTGCTCAAATACAGGAAATGAAGTTATGGTCGTGCATATATAATAATGTGTATATATGGTATATATTTAAGCCTAATCCGTTACGATTAATGATTTACACATATAGATGAAGATTTGGACGTACTGTATATTTCTCTGATTTGTTTCTCTGTAGATTCAAAAAAATATGAAGTCGACTTCAAACAGTGCTTTAAGCTTGGTCGAGACCAAAAGCGCTCTGGGGAAATATGCAATGCATGTGTACTGCTAATTAAAAGATGGAAGAAGCTACCAAAAGGAACAGAACGAAACTGGAACCATGTAGGTCAAAGTTAATTACTTTCTAACCAATGTTTACTTGAGGAGGGAAATATTCGTTTATCAGTATAGGCCACACCCATATCCAGTCATTAAAATCAATGTGAATAGAGTTCGTAAAATAACCAAAACACGGCACTTGCGTGTAATAACTACAGCATAATATAGTTAATAAAACTATTGATTTCAATATAGTACAGCTAGCTACATAATACAGTAAATATAGCAGATTTTGTCAGGCCTTGCTTATGATTTTTAATTTTATTTTTCCGTTATAATTGCATGTTTTGTTGGCATTTAACAGGTGGTAGATGCACGTGCAGGGCCGGGGAACAAAGCAATGTTAAAAAATAGAATGAAATCTAAAGTACAAGCGACGGAAAACAACGGTTCTCCAACAAACAAGAAACAAAGGCCTAGCAGGCCACCGGTTAGGATACGAAAAATGCGATTGATGGATACATTAAACGTGGAACGCGAAGGTAAGTAAACCAGGATGTAAATTCACTTTATGGTGATAGTAAAATGTATTAAAGGAATATATTTTTGTGCAGTGATGCGTCGAAACGAATGGGAGGTCTCAATACTGTGGTTGACACAACGCATGCCAGTCCTACAGAATACCACATAGTCGCTGTTAGAACGCACTAAAACCGTGGAATAAAAAAATCATATAACTCCACACTGTTAAACGGCTGTAGTGTAGGTATTGTAATAATCCTATGTGTATAATGACATGTAACTTCTTAAACAGGTAGGCGTAACGAAGTGCGAAATATGGGTCTCAAGAGAACAGGCCACTCTCCTCCAAGCCCCACTCCAAGCGACTTGTCTGACGACGCTCATGATGGATCGAATCTCGGGGAAGGCAGCATCGATCCACACCAAGATTTCCCACCCTCCGTACGAGATATCTTAGACATCAATTGTTGGAGAATGTAAGTCATTTTTTAGATACTTTATTTATGAAAATTATATTAAATAATTTGCACAATTTGACAAAGTGAGTAGCGCGTCTGTTTGTTTTTTTTTTGCTGAGATACTACTCAACAGCCGTGACTCGGAGATACCGTTCTTATTTTTTTGTCCCGTCATTTTTTAGGTCAATCATATGATTTTAGGGGCCGCTTTCATCTTGTTGTGATTAGACTTAATATACAATTTTTATATGCCAAAAACTTACAGCAGTATATTTTCATGGTTACTCTTTTAGGGAAAAGATCTGTTGCGGAACGATATTCAAGGGACCAAGAGGAGAGGTTCTAGTGGATCCTCATCTTCTGAAACCGTGTCGGTGTGCTATTTATAAACCAACCTACTCAACAGCCGTGACTCGGACAAACAGTGATCAGATCGTACCAAACAGCGAGCATACGGATCAGGAATGGAAGAAGGATATAGAATGGAACAAAGTGACACAAGATGAAATCGACTTTCATGGAAGTCACGTGCCAAAAATGGATTGCTCCATCTAACAAGCTTAAACTAAATTTTGTTTATACAGCCTACGATCTACCGCTTCTAATTTTGCTTTAATGGGCCTAACTATCATCGTGGTGTATGATTTTCTAACATTTTTCATTTCCAGTTACGGAAAGATAATGTTTATATTAGTTCTTTGACACAACTCATTTATTCATTTTCTGTTACTTTATTTGGTCCCCTAAACCATAAGCATCGATTTAACTTTTATTTTTAATTATTAATAACCATAACATAACTGTTCATCATGCTCTATGCAACTAACGATTCAAAATACACATTCCATGCTAAAACCGTTAAAGCTCTTAAACAGTAACCGGTACCAAAGGTTATCTCACCAAATTGATATTTTCTCTTCCAAAATATCAACATTTTCGGTTAATAACTTATATTTTAATAATCACGAATAATTCCTAAAATTCTCCATAGTATTTACCAAAATAACTTTATATGCAATCGTAAATGTCGGTAATTGTCTAAAATTCCTTCAATACAAGTTGTTTCATCATTTCCAATTAGCCCTACCAACATCACATGACTGATGTTGGTGTTGACTAAATATGATAGATACATATTATAATTGTCTAAGTTTGACGTTTTTTACCATTATATCCATACACGAGCAAAATAGCTGGGTTTTTTTTTGTTTAGAAATTAGTCACATGGTGTTAAAACCTTCTAAACAACACAAAATAGGAAGGCAAATGTCTGACTAGACCTACATCAACAAATTCGAATAAGAAGAATGCAGTTGCGCCCTCTATTTTTTTTCGAAAAGAAGCCAAAACTGTGAAATCTTTATTATAGATCTGTCCAAAAATATGTAAGCATACCATACTGACTCACTACTGCATTATTATTATTATAAGAAAAACTGTATACGTTTGTATGTCGCACTCCGTCCTGTTTTATTTATTATGCATGTAATGCATGAATTGTCAGTTCCATATTGGAATATTTTAATTTTGTAACCGATGTTAATATGTTGTTGACGCTTAAAGTACTTGCCAATAATGTCGGGATATTCATGGAAATAGCTAGGATTTAGTACCTAACAGTTTAGTTAATCTTTTTTTGGTGTCGGGATATGCATTTTCAGTAATGCCTTTTTTTTTTTTTTATTAAAGTAAATATACTACAAATAATAGAAATACTTGCATATATTTACTTATTTATACAGATAATGATATACAGTACTAACCTTTGTTTAAAATTCAAACGTTGGTGACGGGCTACTAATGTTGGTGGTAGCTAGTAGACTAACCCTGATGTTCATCTTCGATTCCAAATTGGTGTCGGGATATGCATTTTTAGTGACGCTTATGGGTGCTAACATTATTATAATTAAAATTATTGCATATTTACTTAGTTATACTGTAACCATAGATATATTATATACTGTACCAACTTTTTTTTAATATTCAGGCGTTGGTGACGGGAGACTAACGGCGGTGGCAGTAGACTAATGTTGGTGTTTTATAATAAGCACAGCACAACTTGCACATACACGTCTTGTCTAACCCTTTCAGTGCATCGCGTCCTGTCTTGTTTCACCTTTTTTTGTCTTAAACCCACCGGTCACACGCAGGTTGCAGGCATACTTGATAAAGGATATCTTCTCTCTTTCTCAGTCTTTCTAATTAGAAACCAAAAGCTCTCTGAAAATTTGGCTGGTTCCTCTTTATTCGAATATGTACAATAATTGAACAACCTACCTGGGTAAATTCAGCTGATATTCCAATGTGTGCATTTTAGATCTCTGATAAGATCTATTCGAAACTCTTTACTAGCTTACTCTATCTCCATTTCCATCTTCGCAAATCAAACTCTTCCTCTTAATGGAGTGTCCAATATCAATGTTGTCTGCTATAAAAATCTGCGAGACTGGTGTTTCTTCCTAACTCATTATAATCATCCGTGTTTTAATAGTTATTTATAGAATTAGTGACTAATATTTATATACCGTATAATATTGCGCTATTAATGCTTTGTATTTAGAATTAAAAATGCATAAATATTTGTGGATATTTAATATATATATAAAATAGGTAGGCCTTTGTTTATTTATATGAATTTATTCTGCAATAATACAATAGTCAACTGAATCTTACGCCACTACGAATGCTGCATTTTATTCAAGTTGTGACGGAGAGAGCATATTTCTTGAACTCACCCAAGATGCGTCTAACAATCAGATTTATGAAATCAAACTAATACGTGTGCTCATGCTAGTACTGATATCATTTTAAAAATAATTTTGAACGTGTTCCATTTATGATGAACACTGGTCAAACTAATTCTACATTCAATAAAATGATATTAGTCTAAACTAATACTGTATACTAATAAACGACAATATATTTGCTTAACGCTTAGCTAACTAACACTAACAATAATTGCATCGCTAATTGCTAATTAATTACTAATACAATAATAATATTACTAATACATGTATCGCGTTAGAATAGTACTAACACCATAGGCACTATTCAGAGAATAATCGTAGCAGACACCTTCGTATTGCGTTCACATTAGAAGTGAACATCTTTGCACCTTGCACTGCTAACAGTAGTTATATATTAATACTATCGTCTTAACATCCTTGGCGTTATTTCACTTTTTGATATAGGCCCAAGTGTTGTGTAATTCGAGTAATTTACTTTAGTTATAACATAGAAGCCTTGGTTTTTTGATGTTTAACATTTGACCTGTTGGAGACAATCGAAAATTGTACTCCAATGTAACTTGCACTAACACACCTTTAGAGTATTAACAAAAATAATTAAAAGATAGACTTCGTTTGAATAACATGACGTCATGAGGCTGCTCCAATAAAAACACATACTGTATAGCATTAGTAACCGTTGACGCGTTGTACTAGTGTTATTCAATTAGTTATAGTCTCTTTAAGATGTAGCAAATTTGTTGTTTGTGTTAATTCAATTAGGCCTACAAACTTTAAAATGTGTCATATGGGTGGGTATGACCATGCTACCAGACAAATGATGAATAATTGTGGCCCTTGATCTCAAATTAAATTAAAAAAGTGTATTTATACTATGTACGTTATCGATGTACAGTAGTAAATGTAAATGGTTCTTTCTGATTGGTATTCTGATTAAGCCTACTAACAAGTGATTATTTTTAAATCATTGTATTAGGTCTATCTCAATACAACTTAGCAGGCCAGACCTCAAATGCAATTATGATAGGTATCTTTCGTTGAAGTTAGCTCAACACTTCAGCTGGACTGAGTAGAAAATATAGGCCGGTTTTGATGTTTGTTTTATTGTCAGTCCAACACTTGCCGTGTATAAGGTTATGGTAACGTAATTTTTTTAATGTTGCGATTAATAGGTTCAAACCGGCCATGTTAATTCAAATGAATTCTAAACGTATTTGCTTACAAATATTATTTTAAGACGCATGAGCTTAGTAAAAAAAACTGTTTGTTGAACAGACCGACAGTTAAAATATTTAGGCCTACGTTTACAGTGGTCATTAAAAAAAAAAGAATATTGTAGTATTAGATTTATTTATTTCTCACGTGTAAAAAAGTACACTTAATGTTAATAGTAAAATGGTGTTGTTAATGTTAGTGAAAATATATATATATAAAAAAGCCAATGTAACCAGTGTAACCCTCTTTTAGTGGTTGATCAGGTGATGCGATGGTCACGTAAACAAGCATTATGAGCTATTTTCCGTATGTTATGATCCCTTCGATACTATTCTGGGTACATTTCTTGCATGGTGATGCGTTTTTAATTTTTTTGGTTCATTATCTAAGATGATAACCATTTTGTACCGCCCGGCGTGTGTGCTGTTTTATCGTTATTTTATATATTAAACACAAATAATTTACTTCTTTTTTCACTTTTGTAAATATTTCTTGTGTCAACGTGTAAGATATTGATAGGTCGGTGGCGTTAGTAGTCAAACATAATAGTGAGTTTCCAATAACCACGCCTACTCTGCAGCCGAGTGAAGATATGATAATTACAATAATGATAATGATAGTGAACATTGTGGTTACCTTCCCAATGCAGAGGATATTAAATAACAATGGCCGTAGGTATCAAACTATGATTATAGGTCTACTATTAAGAGTGAGAAAGAAATAAAGAATACTGTTATGGTGATCGCTAGTGATGTCAATACACTTAAAATGAGCCTTGGTGATGGTGATGACTAGGCCGTGATGATGATGATGGTGTTGCTGATAGTAGTTGATAATGACAGGAATACGGAGGATGATGATTAATGATAAGTTTCGGATATCCATGGCCACGTCCTACTGCTATAATTTAATAGCAGTGACTCCTCCCTGGTATAATATATTTTTGAAATGACTGATTAAATGGATGACGATAAAAAACGTTGTGACGTCCTGAGTATGCACCAATCAGTACTGTCTACATTTACCATAGGTCTACTATAATCTGTTATCAATGTTTATATTGCATACCCACTGGGTTCAATATTTGTGATTTTTCGACGATCCACTTGTTAAAACAGCAGAATATCTGGTGCCAAGGGCGAAATCAGCTCAGATGTCTTAAACTTGAAATCATAACGAATTCTTTTCTGAACGTTGACGAAATATCGTTCATAATACGTCGCCAACACGCTCTCACGTAAATATGTCTACTGTCGTCCGAGTTAACGTTCAAATCAGCATGGTATCTGCCTTAGTATGCTCCATTTTTTATTAAATTATACTTTCACCACGAACTTTACCCTTTAACAATAAGAGGAATCGGGTAAAATATTCCAAGGAAGCCAGGATAAATTCAGTCTACTGTTAACATTGTTATCGCACCATTATGTTCTCTGGAGTACGGTACGCTTCGGAATAACATCATAATCATGATTCGGATGAATAGGACAGTTATATTGTTAAAAGTACTGCTTTTACAGGTTAGATTTTATATTCCATTCTATCTATCTATCTATCTATCTATCTATCTATCTATCTATCTATCTATCTATCTATCTATCTATCTATCTATCTATCTATCTATCTATCTATCTATCTATCTATCTATCTATCTATCTATCTATCTATCTATCTATCTATCTATCTATCTATCTATCTATCTATCTATCTATCTATCTATCTATCTATCTATCTATCTATCTATCTATCTATCTATCTATCTATCTATCTATCTATCTATCTATCTATCTATCTATCTATCTATCTATCTATCTATCTATCTATCTATCTATCTATCTATCTATCTATCTATCTATCTATCTATCTATCTATCTATCTATCTATCTATCTATCTATCTATCTATCTATCTATCTATCTATCTATCTATCTATCTATCTATCTATCTATCTATCTATCTATCTATCTATCTATCTATCTATCTATCTATCTATCTATCTATCTATCTATCTATCTATCTATCTATCTATCTATCTATCTATCTATCTATCTATCTATCTATCTATCTATCTATCTATCTATCTATCTATCTATCTATCTATCTATCTATCTATCTATCTATCTATCTATCTATCTATCTATCTATCTATCTATCTATCTATCTATCTATCTATCTATCTATCTATCTATCTATCTATCTATCTATCTATCTATCTATCTATCTATCAAAAAACAATAAAACGTTAGTAGCTAAAACGGGGTTACACTGACATGCACAATGTGGTTTACATCACCTAATAGAAGCAATTGAGCTTATTTTTTGTCTAAATATACACAAATCAGTGAGCTAATTATTTCATGTCTAAGGTAAGTTTCAGAAACTATAGCATGGCGGGCATTTTAACAAGTGGTTTACCATCGTACCAACTGTGCCGTATACCTCAAGGCATGGAATGATATGTGCTGTGCAACATGAGGGTAACATTTAACAGCGATCATAAGACAGTATTCGAAAAGAAACATTTACCTCCTTTAGAGGTTAATGATCCAATGGACGAACGACCAGATGAACCAGAACCAATGAACGAATACAAGTATGGACGAATTAACAAATAAACGAATGTGAAATAGAACTAATGAACAGATTTGCTCATTTGCTGTTTCGTTCATCTGTTCGGTCATTTATTCATGCTTCCGTTCTTCGTTTATTTGATCCCTTTACTCATTCTTTCATTTGTTCGTCCTTTCATTTCATTCATTACGTTCATATCATTCATTTCATTAATTAATTCATCCATCCATATATTAATTCATTCAACTTATTTTTTATTTGATGAAACTGACCTCCAAAAGTACATAGTGTTCCTAAGTAATTTACTTAATCAAATCAGATTTGTGCATTCATTGAGGGATTTGAGAATATTTTAGACTTTAGCAAAAAAGGTTTTGAAGTTCATCAGTTCTTGATGCCTCAGTATCAATATCATTTCACTGCATCAGCAGTTACACAAGTTATATTTTAATAATCGCATGACAATCAAATTCATATTTGTTTATTTTTCTATTCCTAGTGTGATAACGATGACCAGGTAGCCTAGTGATATTAAAGATGGCGGTGGGCATTAATTTGATGTCGATGTTGATATGATGATGGCAATAAATAATGCTTATAACGAAGACGGTGATGATGATGATTATGATGAAGATGATGATACCGATGATGATGACGATGATCATAGTGATGGTGATACTACTAACGGTTATATTAATACTAACACTTCCATAATTGTAGGCCTCAATAATGTATTATTATTATTGGTGGGCAAAATAATTTGACTCTAGCTAATATTGTAAGTAGATATTAATTAATTAATCATTGAATTTCTCCTAATAACAGGTCACGTTTATCTTTGCGACTAGTACTTCACATGGTTTGTCGTCAACCGACGGAGCTACAACTTTAGAAATCTTTAAAAAGGACATTTTAAATCAATCATCCGCAAAACTAACAAATATTTCAGAACGTACAGTGGAGAATGAAAGAAGCAATACACCTCTGTATAATATTACTCACTCTAATTCAACACCAAACCAAGTATTTCAGTACAACAATATTAGCAATACCACGATATTTGAAAGTAGGTCTAATATATTGGATATTATAGGATTGCGCATGCCTACAACAAACATTTACAATAATCTTAAAAAAGACACTTCAACACCGAATACAGAAGTTATTTTTAAACCTTTCATACCTAATATTTCACACATCAACTCCAACATTGATTTGGAAACTAATCAGCTCAATGGTGTATCACACTATAGCGATGAACATGTTTTGTCTAGTGAAAGTACAGCTTCTAAAGTGTTTATAGACACAAGAAGTACCAACTTATTTGAAGTGGAAGACAGAACCATGAAAAACAATAATATTTTACTAACTGGTACAGCATCAATGCTGGGTTTACCAAAATCTAATAGGCCTTCTGGATGTAGAACCAGAGCTAAAAGCACACACATAAAATTATCGAGAAATTTAAAAAAGGAATCATTGGTATCCTCTACTAAAATATTTGCTCAAAATACTGCAAATGAATTTAATAAACATAATGTATCTATGTATTATATAAACCCTTTGAATAATAACACTGTATTGGCTAATTTTAAATATGGCGCTTCAAGAAAAATATTACAAGAGTCATTCCAAGAAGTCAGTAACGATAAGTCGACCACAGATGACACGATTCAACGTTCTTCGGATGGATATGGAAAAGAATCCCCAGGCTATATTTCATATGTATTTCACGATCCTGTCACCTTGACCCATTCAGACAAAACCTCATCATCGACTGCAGATATTCCACCAAACACACGTCCGAAGCCTGAATATATCAACCCAAGTCTAACCGAAACCAGTCAACAATACAAACGCTCTATAGCTAAGGGCAAGACGGATGACGTACAACACCTTGATCCAGAGAGCGTACGTGAATCTGTTTACCACCAAGTGTCACGTAATAGTCGGCCTAAGGCGCACATAAATACACTTCCACCAGGAACATCATTTGGTAATGATTGCTTTTAAAATGTGGTTTGTATTATCTGAATCTTAATTCCATTCCATCTTAATTTGTGAAATTGTAAATATTCATTATATTTTTTCCCAAAACCAACAACAATCTAAAAGAAGTTCCAATTAACCTGCGGGCGGCAGTAGGCAGTATATAGGCATATATTCAAAATGAAAGTAGTATAATCATTTTGTATTGAATGTAGTGAACATTTTTGATAAATATTGTAATTTCCTATTTTAAAGCCTTCAATATATAACCTTTTAGCGGCACAAACCTTAGATAATTTTATGATTTTATTTCTCTTAAGACAGATCCTACTGGCAATGACAGATATAAACAAAGACCAATAATATTTGAAGAGGGAACTGAAACTAGCATACATGTTAGTGAGAAAGCCCCTCTTTCTCAGAAGAAGATCCAAGACCCTCGGCAAACAAGCAGTTTTGAAAAAACAACTACATTTTTAAAATCAATTTCATCACAAAGGATATCAGCAGACGTAATTGAAAAACTAATCAGGAGAAATGTCAATGAAGAGAATGAAGAGTTTGAGCGTACTACTGACTTGCCGTCGGATACTGATTCTTCAGAATTGTTCAATAAGATAACTACGTCTCCAGAAACCACGATTTCTGAAAATGGTATCGACATCGTCACCTCTGTATCAACGGACGAAAACATATTGTTAGAATTTCTGAGAGAATCTGTAAACAAAAGGTTAACTGTAAACATGACAGCCACAGGTAACTTACATATTTTACCTAGTAAAGAAATGACTGAGGTTGTTACACCACCCTCGCTCAGCAGTAACAGCGAGTCAACTGAAATGTATAGCCCATCAAATACATATACTGATTTCTTAACTGTGTATACTGAAGTAATCGGTGACAACATTGTATTGGACAATATACGGTATCATGCTACAGGATCTCATGAAATGAATAGTACAATTCCCAATCAGCGTCCCTTAACTACTACTAAAAAATCTAACCTGGAAACTGACCTTGTAAATAACGTCATCACTATGACTGAGACAGTGCGAACTGATAACAAGACATCAGCACCTGACACACAGTCTTCTTTCACCGACGTTATTTCTTTTACTGAAATAGCTGAAAACATTGATCCGAACACGCCAGTTAACGATCATAACATGCACATCACTGTAACAGAATCAGAATGTTTGAATGATACTGTCACTGAAATTACTACAGAGTTTGATAAATCTTACAATGGAACAGCCGAATATATTATTGCTGGCAATACATCACCAGAGTCTATCCTTACAACCAATATAGTCACCACTAAACCTTTCTCTAGCTTTTCAGTAGCAGGTGATAAAGATAGCAAGACATCAATTGTCGCTGAAACATTCACTGAAACGTTCACTGAAATTGAACGTGCTGCAGTCAATTCTTTTGCTGAAAATGAAAATGCTAGAGCAAATTCTACGAGTGGAAATGCAAAGGACCCTCAATCAAATATCACAGAGACAGTTTTTTGGGATTTCTATTCATTATCTACTGATGGAACTAGTATTGAAAATGTGTCAAACATTGAAAACAGTGATTTGAAATTGTTGTTCGCCAATTCTGTAAGTGCCACAGAATCATTCACCGATATTGTGAGTAGTATCGACAAAATATCAGACATTTCTTCGGCAGAAGATGATATTGTCACTGAGAGCACATCAGAAAATTTCATGATTGGTTATGAGTCTCAAGAAGCCTTCGCCACTCAAATTTTAGCACCGGTAACGGAATCTCTTCCAATAAGCGCATCGATAACCGATATAATCACTGAAACCGTGACGGAAATTGGTAGAACTGATATTTATATCACTGACTCTCTAAATAGTGACGGTGAAATTGTCGACACACACGTTCCTCCAACAACATTTACTAATAATGTCACTGAAATTGTGATGGACGTTGGTAAATCTGGAAATTACCCTATTGTTGATAGCAACGATATTGGAGATAAACGCTATAACATGTTTAATAAAGACACAGCTCTTTCCGATAATCAGAAGCGACTTCATACTACAGTAATGTATGAAATTTCTGTAACTGACGTTGTCACCGAAATTTTAACAATGGAGTCACTTGACAATGAAGATTTCAGTGAATCTGTCGGAAAAAATGACAGAACATTGACTATATTTGATACCGTTCCTCGAACTCAACCTGACACTAATATTGATATCGCAACAAAATATGATGTTACAGATACAATTGTTTTTGATGCTAGTAAGCATCCTGTTACAGATCTCGTGACCTACTGGACAACATCACCAGATTCTACAGAGAAATTTGCAGTAACAGATTTGGAGATTTACACTGAATTGATGACAGAATTAATAAGTGTCCACGATACCAATCTACCAAATATTGTAACAAACAGTGTTCGTGTTAGTGAAAATGTAGCAACGAATGAGATGAATGCAACAGACATCATGATGGTCACTGGTATCGTCACAGAGATTGGTAGTACTGTGGTTGATACAATATGTGAGTAAGATTTATAATATTAAAATGACAATGACATAAATGACCAGAAACATGAAATGCAAAAATTGCTGTTCTAAAATAACACAATATAACATAATCAATCCATAAAGATATGCAGTATGTACCATAGCAATGGTTTTCTAAATGTATTTATATGTTGTTTATATTGTAATACAATCAAATTCAGCTATTCACTGTCGATTGCAAATTATATACCGAAATAAATAAATAAAAAAAAAGTTTTATAAAAAAGCAATTTGTATAGTTGTAGATCATACACTAGTAAGATACGGAGGTTGGATGATGCATGAAAATTGAAAACAATTCCTCAGGGCATGCAAGGTTTGGTATAAGAAAGCTGTGACGATGGAGTTACAAGGATGAAATCATAATTTGTTAGTTTCATTCGCATTCAAGTATCTTTATGAGGGTAAAAGAGTGGAGTTGTATTTAGTCATGAGAAAACATCCAGCTGTCAGGAATTGATCCCAGGCCCCTTGGATTAGAAGACAACTCTACTCCTTAATTAGAATATCTTAATACTAATAGGCCTATAGAATTTGTATGATTATTAGTTGATAACATATCATGACGAAATGCTTTTCTGAATATATCCTCGGGATAGATATCAAATTTAATTTTCACAAGATGACCACAAAATATAGGTCTATTGTCTTCTGATACGCTCATTGTTGTCATATTCCCAACAAAATGAATCATGCTGAACTACAGAACAAAATAAATGATATAACACACAGTCAAAACTTACATAAACCTACGTTTAAATACACATTAGTTAAGGGTAATAAAAAAGGAAGTCCAGGTTATCACTTACCACTCATAATAATGGCCTGGGTTTACTTAATAAAAGCTGGATTGTGTTCGTCGTTATTAGGCCCTACCTCCGCAAAGGACGTTATGTATTCACTGCTGCCCGTCTGTTAGAAAGATTACGCAAAAACAAAGAAATAGAGTGACTGCTCTAGTAATTATTATTATTATTTTTAATAATACTACTTCTATATTTCTTTTATTCGCAAAATAATGTAGATACATTTTTTTTATGACGAAATTATTATTAAAAGGAACATGCTACAGCAGACCCAAAATAAAAAGAAAATAAAAAGAAAACTAAGAAGCTTCTACTTTTTGTAGTTTAATTAGGTGCAGCTTGTCATACGCAAACCGAAGTGTCATTGATCAAGGTCATGTTACTCGTATGTTTAACACAAAATATAGTGAAAGATAATATTTCATAATAATATAATTATAAAAAGATTATGATTAATAATGAATAAATGTAGTTTCTGAAAATCTTTAGATTAAATAAAAATGTGAATAATTAGTAAAAATACATAGGCTTATGTTTGAATTAACCAATGCTGAAAAAAAGAGGAAAATGGTAGGCCTATAGTTTGCTTTTAATATAAAAATTATCATAGTCTTTCATTATAGCATGTTTAAAATGTTGCCAGCTTTCCAGTCACAGATGTGTATGTCTGGGTGAAGTGTGTAAATGTGGTGGGGTCTGAGTAGTATAATCACTAATGAAATAATGTGACATTGCAGGAAAGAAAAAAAAATCAAATAAAATATACCTATATGCACCACCATAATAGCATTAAAATTTGAGCTAAAATGATAGATAAACTACAACTTTAATGCTCACATGCAGTGGCGGATTCAAAAGTGGGGAAGGGGGAGGGGGTGGTTGGTTAGCCGGTCGCATTATTTTTACCCCATACACTTAAGGCAGAAATTACAGAAGGCGCTATTCTAGGTTAGTTAGGTGAACTGATATGCATGAATGCATGCAGACTTCCCCTCGCGAGTCGCGAAGCAGTGTTTGCTGCTTGCGGAATATGAAATTGCCTGTGATGTGAAAACTATAGTGTTACTCAAAGAATATGCAGCAGTAGTAAGGTAGGCCAAAATTTCTTGGTACTGTAGTTGGTCGAGACAGTGTAGTCATACAGTGAAAATTAATGAACTAATGTGCAGTATTGTAATTATATCCCTATGCCTAGACACTGTTTACGTACAGCTGAGCATGGTCTTTGAAAGTTGTATAAAAAACAGCGCTGAATCTGGTCGGTTTTGAGTGATAGCAGTATTACTACGCTACACTAATACCAAGGAGGTATAAATTTTTTTTTATACCTCCTTGCTAATACTAAGTACTTTTATATTAAATGTAAGGTACAGTTATGGCATACATAAAATATACCAGGGAATTTTTAGAAGAAAATTCTATGTATGCAGTATATTGTTATAATGTTGGTTTCTCACTGAACAAATATAAAAAAGTAATAAGCATCGATTTACTATATAGCAATAAACATAAATCTGACGATATTCTATGATACGTCGTACTGTTTATATTAAAGGCTGTCTCTCAATTAAGATATTGTAAAGCTTATTTAAAACGACCGAAAGATGGAAGTAAAAAAAACACTTTCACTTAATCAACAGAAAAAAAGTTACCAGCCAATGAATCCTGAAAAGCATAGAGCAATTAAATACATTCACTGTCTGTTAATTGACAGGGATTTGTCTCCGAACATTTCGAAACGTTTATGTCCTTCAGAATCAGTACTATTATAGGGGCATACAATTGCTACAAACACGTCATGTCATATCTAGGATACTATAGTGTAGGCTACTCAAATAGCCAGATTCAATATTACTGTGCTTTTTTATACTTTGAAAGACATTACATTGCTGTACATAAACTGTGTCTATTCATAGGGATATTATTACAATTATAGTCCATTAATGTTCACACTGTCTTCAAGGCCTATTTAACAGATTTCGGCCTACTCCATAATGTCATCCACACACAAGCACTGTAGCTTATACTTGATACACAACAGAACTTGTTTCGCAAGGTGGAGGTCTGGTCTGCATAATTATTCATACATATCAGTTCGCCTAACTGACCTAAAATAGCGCCCCCTGTAATTTCCTTAAGTGTATGGGAAAAATAATGCGAGTCGATCTCCCCCACCCCCTAAATTTTTAAAGATTATAAAAAAAAATGGAGAGAAAAAGGAAAATTATAATAAAATATAGGTCTCAGAGTGCCATTTCCAGCCATATACAGATGCCAAAATCATCAATTTTCTTTCCTCAGCACAAACCATGCAAAGACCAAAAATCGATAACGATTACAGCAAGTAAGCTTACTGCTCCATCTAATAATTAAATGTATTTGTTTACTATAATATCAATCATTACTTTCTATTTTACATTCTTATACCTTATTTAGATCCGGACAGAGTTATCATATCTGAGTCTGCATCCAACACCAGCAGTGTAACTGCAAAATGGACAATCATAGATGGTATAGCTGATTATTTTGAAGTAAATTGTTCAGATGGAAGGCCAGAACATCAACGAATGTTGTTTAGTGACTCCTTTACTGCTACTTGCTCAGGTATTGAGTCTGGACGAACAGTAAACATAAATGTGACTGCAGTGAGTGGAAAGAAAAGAGGAGAGACAATGACACTCGCCATCACAACATGTAAGTACAAGAATTACAGTATAGTTAAAAATTGAAAATATTAGTCAATACTAAGAAAATGAATTTTTTCTCTTAATATTTGCTTGCTAGATCTAGCTGAAGTAATTTATCTGAAGTGACATCCAATACAAGTACTAATACAATCATTGCTCTTTTCATTATATCTTTATACCAAATGCAGTTCCAGAAGGAGTAATATTATTTGAAACTGCATCCAACACCAGCAGTGTAACTGCAGAATGGACAATCATAGATGGTGTAGCTGATTATTTTGAAGTAAATTGTTCAGGTGGAAGGCCAGCACATCATCGAACGTTGTTTAGTGACGCCTTCACTGGTACTTGCTCAGGTATTGAGTCTGGAAGAACAGTAAACATAAGTGTGACTGCAGTGAGTGGAACGAAAAAAGGAGAAACAATGACACTTGCCATCACAACATGTAAGTAAAATATTAGTAGCTCAAAATTTAAAATATTAGACAAAATATTCGTGGGTGGGGTATTTGAAGTAACCTCAAATACAAGTACTTAAACAATCATTGCTCTTTATCTTATATTTTTATACATATTTCAGATCCAGAAAGTGTAATATTATTTGAGACTGTATCCAACACTAGCAGTGTAAGTGCAGAATGGACAACCAAAGATGGCGTTGCTAATTATTTTGAAGTAAATTGTTCAGATGGAAGGCCAGCACATCAACGAACGTTGTTTAATGACACCTTCAGTGCTACTTGCTCAGGTATTGAGTCTGGAAAAATAGTAAACATAAGTGTGACTGCAGTGAGTGGAACAAAAAGAGGAGAAACAATGACACTTGCCATCACAACATGTAAGTAAAATATTAGTAGTTAAAAATTGGAAAAATTATACACAATCAATTAGCGAGTAGCTGAATGTTATTTCTTTATATTTGCTTGTTTAGATCCACCTCAACTAATTTTATCCGAAGCGACCTATAATGCAGGTAGTAAAAACAGTCATTGCTCTTCATCTTATCTTTTTATACATAATTCAGATCCGGAAAAAGTAATATTATTTGAGACTACATCCAACACCAGCAGTGTAACTGCAAAATGGACAATCATAGATGGCGTTGCTGATTATTTTGAAGTAAATTGTTCAGATGGAAGGCCAGCACATCAACGAACGTTGTTTAGTGACGCCTTCACTGCTACTTGCTCAGGTATTGAGTCTGGACGAACAGTAAACATAAGTGTGACTGCAGTGAGTGGTACAAAAAGAGGAGAAATAATGATACTCGCCATCACAGCATGTAAGTACAAGAATATTAGTTCAAAATTAAAATCATTAGTCAATATATTTGCAAGATAATAAACTTTATCTCCTAATATTTGCTTGCTTAGATGTAGCTGATATAAATTTATCCAAAGTAACCTCCAATACAAATACTAAATACACTCATTGCTATTTGTCTTATATGTTTATATCTAATTCAGATCCAGAAAGAGTAAATTTATTAGAAAGTGCATCCAACACCAGCAGCATAAGTGCAGAATGGACAATCATAGATGGCGTTGCTGATTATTTTGAAGTAAATTGTTCAGATGGAAGGCCAGCACATCAACGAACGTTGTTTAGTGACGCCATTACTGCTACTTGCTCAGGTATTGAGTCTGGAAGAACAGTAAACATAAGTGTGACTGCAATGAATGGAAAGAAAAGAGGAGAAACAATGACACTCGCCATCACAACATGTAAGTAAAATATTAGTAATTCAAAATTCGCAAAATTATACACAATCAATTAGCGAGTAGCTGAATTTCATTTCTTAATATGGCTTGTTTAGATCCACCTGAACTAATTTTATCCGTAGTAACCTATAATACAGGTAGTAAAAACAGTCATTGCTCTTCATCTTATATTTTTATACATATTTCAGATCCAGAAAGAGTAATATTATTTGAGACTGCATCCAACACCAGCAGTGTAAGTGCAAAATGGACAATCATAGATGGCGTAGCTGATTATTTTGAAGTAAATTGTTCAGATGGAAGGCCGGAACATAATCGAACGTTGTTTAATGACGCTTTCACTGCCACTTGCTTAGGTATTGAGTCTGGACGAACAGTAAACATAAATGTGACTGCAGTGAGTGGTACGAAAAGAGGAGAAACAATGACACTCGCCATCACAACATGTAAGTACAAGAATAATAGTTCAAAATTAAAATTATTAGTCAATATATTTGCAAGATAATAAACTTCATCTCCTAATATTTGCTTGCTTAGATGTAGCTGATATAAATTTATCCGAAGTAACCTCCAATAACACGTTATATCGTCATTGCGGACTTATAAAATCCGCATACGCCTTAAAACTAAAAGAAAATGCATACGTTTAGAGTCCATACTGAGCCCAAAAATTCGCAATGAAAATATAACATGTTCAATACAAATACTAAATACATTCATTGCTATTTGTCTTATATGTTTATACCTAATTCAGATCCAGAAAGAGTAATTTTATTAGAAAATGCATCCAACACCAGCAGTATAAGTGCAGAATGGACAATCATAGATGGGTTAGCTGATTATTTTGAAGTAAATTGTTCAGATGAAAGGCCAGCACATCAACGAACGTTGTTTAGTGACACCTTCAGTGCTACTTGCTCAGGTATTGAGTCTGGAAGAACAGTAAACATAAGTGTGACTGCAATGAGTGGAAAGAAAAGAGGAGAGACAATGACACTCACCACCACGACATGTAAGTAAAATATTAGTAGTTCAAAATTGGCAAAATTATACACAATCAATTAGCGAGTAGCTGAATTCCATTTCATCAGTAGTGTAACTGCAAAATGGACAATCATGGATGGCGTTGCTGATTATTTTGAAGTAAATTGTTCAGATGGGAGGCCAGCACATCAACGAACGTTGTTTAGTGACGCCTTTACTGCTACTTGCTCAGGTATTGAGTCTGGACGAACAGTAAACATAAGTGTGACTGCAGTGAGAGGAAGGAAAAGAGGAGAAACAATGACACTCGCCATCACAACATGTAAGTAAAATATTAGTAATTCAAAATTAGCAAAATTATTCACAATCAATTAGCGAGTAGCAGAATTTCATTTCTTAATATTTGCTTGTTTAGATCCACCTGAACTAATTTTATCCGAATTAACCTATAATACAGGTAGTAAAAACAGTCATTACTCTTCATCTTATATTTTTATACATATATCAGATCCAGAAAGAGTAATATTATTTGAGACTGTATCCAACACCAGCAGTGTAAGTGCAGAATGGACAATCATAGATGGCGTTGCTGATTATTTTGAAGTAAATTGTTCAGATGGAAGGCCAGCACATCAACGAACGTTGTTTAGTGATGCCTTCACTGCTACTTGCTCAGGTATTGAGTCTGGACGAACAGTAAACATAAGTGTGACTGCAGTGAGAGGAAGGAAAAGAGGAGAGACAATGACACTCGCCATCACAACATGTAAGTAAAATATTAGTATTTTAATATTCACAAAATTATACACAATCAATTAGCGAGTAGTTGAATTTCATTTCTTAATATGGCTTGTTTAGATCCACCTGAACTAATTTTATTCGTAGTAACCTATAATACAGATAGTAAAAACAGTCATTGTTCTTCAACTTATATTTTTATACATATTTCAGATCCAGAAAGAGTAATAATATTTGAGACTGTATCCAACACCAGCAGTGTAAGTGCAGAATGGACAATCATAGATGGCGTTGCTGATTATTTTGAAGTAAATTGTTCAGATGGAAGGCCAGCACATCAACGAACGTTGTTTAGTGATGCCTTTACTGCTACTTGCTCAGGTATTGAGTCTGGACGAACAGTAAACATAGGTGTGACTGCAATGAGTGGAAAGAAAAGAGGAGAGACATTGACACTCGCCATCACAACATGTAAGTAAAATATTAGTAGTTCAAAATTCGAAAAATTATACACAATCAATTAGCGAGTAGCTGAATTTCATTTCTTAATATGGCTTGTTTAGATCCACCTGAACTAATTTTATTCGTAGTAGCCTATTAGTAAAAACAGTCATTGCTCTTCATCTTATATTTTTATACATATTGCAGATCCAGAAAGAGTAATAATATTTGAGACTGTATCCAACACCAGCAGTGTAAGTGCAGAATGGACAATCATAGATGGCGTAGCTGATTATTTTGAAGTAAATTGTTCAGATGGGAGGCCAGCACATCAACGAACGTTGTTTAGTGACGCCTTTACTGCTACTTGCTCAGGTATTGAGTCTGGACGAACAGTAAACATAAGTGTGACTGCAATGAGTGGAAAGAAAAGAGGAGAGACAATGACACTCGCCATCACAACATGTAAGTAAAATATTAGTAATTCAAAATTAGCAAAATTATACGCAATCAATTAGCGAGTAATTGAATTTTATTTCTTAATATTTGCTTGTTTAGATCCACCTGAACTAATTTTATCCGAATTAACCTATAATACAGGTAGTAAAAACAGTCATTACTCTTCATCTTATATTTTTATACATAATTCAGATCCGGAAAGAGTAATATTATTTGAGACTGCATGCAACATCAGTAGTGTAACTGCAAAATGGACAATCATGGATGGCGTTGCTGATTATTTTGAAGTAAATTGTTCAGATGGAAGGCCAGCACATCAACGAACGTTGTTTAGTGACGCTTTCACTGCTACTTGCTCAGGTATTGAGTCTGGAAGAACAGTAAACATAAGTGTGACTGCAATGAGTGGAAAGAATAGAGGAGAGACAATGACACTCGCCATCACAACATGTAAGTAAAATATTAGTAGTTCAAAACTCGCAAAATTATACACAATCAATTAGGGAGTAGCTGAATTTCATTTCTTAATATGGCTTGTTTAGATCCACCTGAACTAATTTTATTCGTAGTAACCTATAATACAGGTAGATAAAACAGTCATTGCTCTTCACCTTATATTTTTATACATATTTCAGATCCAGAAAGAGTAATATTATTTGAGACTGTATCCAACACCAGCAGTGTAAGTGCAGAATGGACAATAATAGATGGCGTAGCTGATTATTTTGAAGTAAATTGTTCAGATGGAAGGCCAGCACATCAACGACCGTTGTTTAGTGACTCCTTTACTGCTACTTGCTCAGGTATTGAGTCTGGACGAACAGTAAACATAAGTGTGACTGCAGTGAGTGGAAAGAAAAGAGGAGAGACAATGACACTCGCCATCACAACATGTAAGTAAAATATTAGTAATTCAAAATTGGCAAAATTATACACAATCAACGTTTTTGTAACACCAACAATACAAAAAAAATGGGAAGATTGTTTTATTGATGAAAATATTGATTGGAAATCATGTTGGTTATATAAAATATGTAAAATGAAGGACAAAAAATTAGCCCAGTTCAATTACAAGCTCTTACACAGGATTTTGCCTACTAACAAAATATTACATATATGGAAACTAAAAGATACTGCCAAATGTTATAAGTGTAAAGAAAATGTTGAAGATGAAAAGCATATGCTTTTCAATTGTACATTTATCAAACCTTTTTGGATGAAAGTTAAATATATATTAAGAGGTATTGGGCAAGAAGATATATCTTTTAAGCAACTGGTTCTTGGAACAGAAAATGTAATTGTAGATTATATTTACACTGCTGCAGCTTTTACTATTTACAAAGAAAAAATTCTGTGTGAATTAAAAAAATCAAGATTTACTGATCTATGGAGTGCCTTTAAACATAAAATCATGTTCAGAATTAAAGGTGACTTATATATCGACAAAGTAAAGGGTAAAAGGAAATGGAAAAGAATACATAATTTGCTGATTGATAGTTAAGAATTTTTTAACATATCTACATTGAAAAGGGAAAAAAAGCCATAAATAGAAGTAAATACTACAATATTGTATTACGAATTGTAAATTATAACAAAATTTAGGAAAGTACATACAGGTGACACTTTTAAAAGGCCTAAGTCAAAGATGATTTGGATATTGTACAAAGATATAAAAAAAATATAAAAAAAGATGTGGAAAAAAAACAATGTGTAATGGATTTTAATTTTAAAATAAAAAAAAAATTAAATACAATATATAT